AATAAAAGCTTATTTAAATCTAACGTAATAAAATAGTTTTAGACGAAAACATTTCTGGTTACCTTCACTCTACAGTAAAGCTTGATATGGTCCAATAAACAGTAGGCATATTTGCCTTCTAAGTAAAGTTCGCGAGGATACTTATTATTACTGAATAGCGAATATAGACGCTCTATCGAAGCGAAAAATGGTTTTTACGGTGATTTTTTATTAGTGAAACGTTGTATTCCCAAAAAATACTTTAAATTGTATAAATAAGTTACCCGGGCAATTAATTTAGATCAGCCAATCAGACGAATGTCCTCCTATGAATAATGAGGTTTAATTGTATTTGTGTTTTTCGACGTTTTGGGTTACATGTTTAAAAAGGGAGAAGATTCTAACGAACTTCGTCAACTCAGTTATAATTATTATTATGGAATCGGAGTTGAAAAAAGCCTTTGAATATTTTATGAGAGCTGCTGAATTAAAAAATGTAGATGCGACTTATTGTGTTGGTTGTTGTTATCAATATGGAACCAGAGTTGGAAAAGAGCTTTCGAATATTGCAAAAGAGCCGCAGATATGAATGATGCTAAAGGGATATTTGGAGCCGGTTTTTGTTATAAAAATGGAATTGGAGTCAAAACAAATTATCAAGAAGCATGCAAATATTATGTAAAATCTGCAAATATGGGTCATCGTCGTGCAATTGGTTTATGTTATCATGATGGAATATTTTAAGAAATCTGTTGATATGGGTTATATGGCTAGTATGAATAATTTTGCTGCTTATTATTGTAATGGTATCGGAGTACAGAGAGCAAATCATTGGTATAGGAAATGCAGAAATCTTTTGAAAACTAATAAATTGATATTGACCCTGACCTTAAAAAAGTATTAAATGATGATAAATATAAATTATCTTGGATCGATTACGGTGATTTTAAAGATATAAAAGAGATTGGAAAGGGCGGTTTTGCGACAGTATATTGTGCACACTTGAATAATATAATTAATAACAATTGGAAGCATGTTGCACTAAAAGACTTTGTTAGCGAGTTGAAGAATTATTGTGAAATCGGCTATGAGAATCCATATTTTTAGAATGTATTGGAAATCAAAAAATATTGATTATATCATCGTAGTGAGATATGATCATCGCGTCAGAATCTTGAAAAAGTATCAAAAATGAGTTGGAAAGATAAATTGAACCTTTTTGTATTATATAGCTTCGGATCTCGAATACATTCATTCTCAGGAACTCGTTCACGGTGACCTACACTCTGGAACTATTTTACAAAATCAATTAGACGGCTCTTATGTCACTGACCTTGGTCTTTCTAACTTTATGGAGTTGTGTCTTATGTAGTTCCTGAAATTCTGCTAGGTCAATTATATACGAAATCGTCAGATATTTATATAGTCTTGGGATCGTCATGATTGAAATTTCAACTGGAAGAAGAGCCTTTGACGGAATTCCCTTTAATTTTGATCTTCAATTTAGGATCATTGGTGGAACAAGGCCTGGATGTATGGAGTTTTATGTTAGATGATGATCCTAATAAATGACCAACTGTTACTATAATTGTACATAATATGGGCTATTGGTTAGACGAAATGAATCAAAATGATAACGAGATATTTCGAAATCGACAATGTTGAACCAGAACCGGTCAAACCGAAACATCCGAATTATTATTATTCTAGTAAATTAATAAAGCTTTATCAAATTGATAGTAATAGTGTTCCTACCCATTATCCATTTATCCATCGGATATCCGGATCTGAACTTATTCAGATATCCGTTTTATATCCGTTTACTATTGATATCCGGATAATTATCCGGATAATTATCCGAATACCTGTCGGATTATCCGGATATCCGAGCGATTTTGGATTATCTTGATTGGAACTCTAGATAGTAAAATACAAAATGAATTTAACAATATTGACATAAGTAAAGAAGAGGTTAATGGGACGAATTTTTATAAATTTACAATGAAGGAATAAAGAAAAACTTTTTTAACAGGCTATAGTAATAACGTTAATCAGACAAAGGTAATTAAGTTATTTGACTTTTATTGATAAATATTCAAGATTTTTATTTTAATCTTTTTTAAAAAATATGATCATTATCAGCAAAATAAATGTGGAGAAAATGAATATCATTTCAATCTTGCCTGGTCAATTAATGCAGATATCTATAAAACTTCTCAAAGTCAATTCAAATTTTTTCAAAAAAAAATGAACATGAAAAACGATATTTACTTAACTTTGTTAAAAAAAATTTTGAAGTTTATAATTTTGAAAATAAAAAAGAGGATAAGACTCACGCAACAAATTATTGTGAATTCTATATTAGAAATTACTTATAACAAATTTTTTGCAAATGGACTTCTGGCGATGAGAAAATTGATGAAATTATTCAAGAAGCTCAAAGAAATATGATGAGACCGGATTTAATAATTGATAAAATCTAAAGCTAATGGTGGTTTCGCTACTATATATACAGCATAATGGAAATATGGGCCTTATATTAAATGGAATTCAACAATGAAACATTAGAAAGATATGGAGAGCAGATAGTAATTCTTAAAGAACTACTAAAGTCAAATGAGAACGTGATACACATGAGGTATGCTTTAAGAAAATCAACTATATTTGCTTGAATCTGTTTTTTATTATTTCTAGATTGTGTCCAATTTTCGTATTGATAAAATTGCCTCTAATTTTGTCCAATGCTATGGGTTAGCTAGAAATCCATTTACAAAAAATTATATGCTGGTTTTACATGTTCATCCTAGTAATATTTTACTCAAAGGTGATTATAATATACGATCAGCGATATGACCTACCTTCAAAAGTTGTTTACGGAAATCTTCCTTATATTGCGCCAGAAGTCCTGTGTGGTAAACCTTATACTGTTAAAGCAAATATATATAGTTTAGGAATAGTTATATGGTTTATTTCTGCAGGTAGGCGAACTTTTAGTGGTCTTGATCACAATATTGCGCTTCCGTTAAGTATCGCAAAAGGAGCTCGTCCAGAAATTATTAAAGGGACGCAAGAATTATTGGACAATGTTGGAATGCTAATCCTGAGAATAGGCCCGGTGCTAAAAAAATTTGCAGACAATGAAATTATTTTTGAAAAATCTGTAATCTCTAATGATTTACAATTGGATATTAATGATTCTGATGTTCGGGAAGCATAAATAAGTGGTTGGCTAAACATTTACGGTTGGGCATTGAGAAAGAATCTTTTAGCAGTTATCATTATTTTGAGAACGAAAATTTCCTCGAAAATCCTAGTTGATATAATAGGTTTAAATTATTCTATTATTTTGCAGAAGTTGATGATTGCTACTTCAATATTGTTGTGATGACTTTTACCTCATATTCTCAGTTTTATTTTACCTTTAAATTATTTTATGTTCTCGTATTCTCATAGTCATTTTACCTTTACATTATTTCCATGTTCTCATAGTTATTACAAACATTGCATGTTGGGATAATATTAAGTCTGTGTCTATATTATTATGAAATTTTAAAATTATTTGGAACCTTTTTTTTTTTTTTATGATTGAGTTAGATTTGTTAATAGTCTGAGAGAATTTTATGAATAAAAAATACAATAAAAGGTCAGATTTAATCATCTTTTTTAATTGACTACTGAGGCAAAAGTACAGCATAATACAACTATTGATTTTAACCATTTTAGCTTGTCAATAAGGTAGGCGTCACATTAATATACTGATATTGAGAATATATAAGTTGGAAGTAATGTTCGAGTAGGGTGAAAATTGGCAATTTATATTGCATTAATTTAATATGGTAAGCAAATATGAAAGTCTTGAAGAAATTAAAAATCTTTATTCATTGTCAATTGTATGTCACGTCAAATTTTTTATAATTAACGCATAGAAAGTATGGTAGCCATAGCTATAGCGATATCAGGCTCAATTTCAATTTCAACACCATTTATGTAAAAACAAATAGTGCGTTAATTTTTCACACGTAGAATTATTGGGCAATAAGAACATTAATAAGTCAACAATTGTTATTAAATTACTCCATCCTGGTGTACTAACGACCAGAAAGATGACACTTGTGAGTTTTCCAAGAAAAATATGAGTAAATAAATAATAGCTTTTAATTATACATGGGTTAATACTTTTGATGCATCCAATAATATGGGTCTAATTCAACGAACTTACCAAATTAGACAAGAATAACAATTCACTTTCATTAGGCTCGAAGATTGCTATTGCCGTTGTTATCATGATAGTTGTGGGATTTCTCATTTATATAAAACTTCGTATTCATAATTCTATTGCAACTTTCTTATAAAATTAATGTCTCCTCTTTGAATAAAAAGTAATTTCAAGTTCTATAAACTTAATTTTTCGATGTACGAAATTGATATAACCTACATACAGTATACGAATATTATTTATAATTTAAATGTAATAAAAATTAATGTAATGGTGATTTTTAAGATTATCTGTGGCAAATTGAAACAACTTAATTTAAAATTATGTACTGAATTAATTCGGAATATTCGAAATTAATTTCATATAAGCACTGTTGAACACTCAAAATTTAATGTATGATGTGTTAAAAGATTAACATATTTAAAAAGATTGTATACCACCGTTAAATCTCTCCAAATCGACGTGCATGGTGAATAGACTTTGTATCGGTGTTGAGGGGTAAACTATTATATATAATAAGGGAAAGTCTCTGGCGGGATGGTTAGTGGCAACTTACCGTGGTGAGTTACTGGTAAGTTACCATGAATTTTACTGTCCTCATAAATTCTAAAATAACTGATAAAAATTTGGCCGAAATAATTCTGCTACTTTTATTCTTACATAGCGATTAGCGATAGTGTAAAAAATGTATCTTTATTAAGCTTTCATCTTAATGTCTGTCCAATTTGTATTAAATGTTTAGTTTGTACAAAAACCTACGGCAATAATTGTTCTAGTTAACCAATATATCTGCACTTGAAACGCAAAAGAAGTCCTGATCATAAGTTAAACTTTCTTAATAAGCATGTTACGCAAGTAGGTGATAACAAAAAAATGATCAAATACGATCAAGAATTTGTTGATTGGTTTAGAAGATGCAACTCAAGATAAGATTACAAAAAAACAAGGTTTTATTGACATTTTTCAAGAATGTATTGAGAACTTTGGTCAAAACTTTGATCAACAGCATCAAAGTAAAAATTTTATAAGATTTGTATTGCTATTTTTATTCAAAAAATATATTTAATAAGAAACTATTGAAATGATAGCTTTAACTAGTAAGGAACTTTTGGATTATCTATAATAAATTCTTTAGAGCCATCTCTTTTGCATGTTTTGAAATTAATAATGTATATAAATAAAATTTTAATATAAATTTATAAAATAAAATATCACTATATAAAAGATTTTACCTGTTTGTATAGCTCTCCAAATCGAGAGGATTTTATGGTCTAACCAAAGTTTCACCTCTGATCGCAGCTCATATAAATACCAATCAGGTTTTTCTTTCAATAAAGTTTGGATATGTGGGATCTTTGTTAGGAAGATCACCTTCCGAAATTGAAATCGGACAAACTTAGATCAGAATATCGATTCTTAATTACATGTAAATCATCTTTTACTTAGTTTATTAAATAAAACTATAGCGATAGAATCAAATAAAATAAAACGATGATTTACATGTAATTAAGAATCGGTATCCTGATCTAAGTGCCCGAATTTGTCGATCGGAAAATCTCGGAGGTTATTTTCCTAGCAAAGATCCAATATTTTCTTACCATCTATGTTTATAAACTTCAACGCATCCATATTTCTGAAATTGTTTATGAACTCGGCAAACAGAAGACTTGATAATACCTGATTGTTTGGCAATTACTCAAACCGGCAGACCTTCTAAATTTTTTTTTTTGACTATTTGACAACGAATATGCTTTGAAAGTAATTTGACAAGTATTTAATAACTGTACAACAATATATATTGGTGTAAATTCTGATAAACACCGGAATTAATTTTATCGAATTCGGCAGAATTAATTTCGGCCAAATTTTTATCAGTTGTTCCGGAATTTATGAGAACAGCTGTAAACCATTTATGTTTAGGGATGGGTTCGGTTAGGTTATAATCGGTTATAACTACGGTTATAACCGAGGCTGATCAGAGACTTTTAATACTGTTTAGTAGTGCTATACTGTATATCGAAATCAATCATAGCTGAAAATAATCGAATAATGACCATGACTGACCGAACCCATCCCTATTTATGATGGCGTTATTTCATTAAAAATTGACCCGTTTGTCATATTTGATCTTATGATAGCTTCTAATCAAAGAATTGGTTAAACATACTGTATTCAACAAATTTTAATCAAGTGTAATTTTTTTGGTTGATCTCGAATTTTTTCATTTTTCACGTTTATCAATCCTGCTTTAAACATTTACAATAATTTTGCATTGATATTATTGTAACATTTTAGATTCTGATGAATTCATTATTCTGTCAGAAGATAATTTGGGTTCTATCTTGAAACTTAATTGGTAATAGAAGAAAACTTACTTCAATTCATATTTATATTTTCTTAAAATAACGTGATTTTATTACGACTTGATAACCAAAGTGGTTATATATATTGCATTACGAGAACACCATTATATCAAATTGTCGAAGTTGAAAAATTCTAGGAGAAACAAAACACAAACGAACGAAACCTCTTGAAAGTGGGGTAAATAATCTATGACTACCAGCAGTTCACAAGAAAAAGAAACCGACTAATCTTAATAAATTTTAGTTTATATAATTATAATGCATTAAATTGTTGCCCGGGTGGGCTTTGACTTTTTTTTTTTTAATAACTAATAAAAATTTTGCCTATATAAATGCATTACTTCTGCATATGCATTTGAATCATAGATCTTGTACATTGTACGCATTTCATACATTGCATTATACGAGTTATACGAGTTCTAATTCGATGTATGCATACATGTCGTAGAACTAGATACGGCAGTACCGAAAATAGTTAACACCAATTTTTAGGTAAAGCTGTATTCTATATATAGCTTACAAATATAAATATAGTTTATGTTTATTTTTCTTATTTTATTGGCTGAAGCTGAGGGGGGCGAAGTGAAAGCCTTTCAAACCATGATCTACTGAATTTTAGGAATGATTTGTTTTGATTTTCAAAAAGTATATTTCCTTTTATTTCTTCATATCAAAAAACTACAGTATTAATATCAGATATGCTTCTTTTATGTTTTCTAACTTTTTTTTATAGTTTAGAATAACTCAATTTTTAATTAAATACGTGAAATAATAAATATTGGGAGGAAGTTTGTACAGTTTATAAAAGATTATTTAAACAAAGATTTTCATAGTTTACACAATAATAATAATAATAATAATAATAATAACGCTTTCACTGACATAACCATTAGAAGGGATTCACTTTAAAAGCTAAATTTTATAGGTTCGTTAACTACATGTGCTTCGAAATTACTGTAATGTTTCTGTAATAGTATCTGTAATAGTATATTGCAATTTACAAACTAAAAGAATGTTAAAAACCTACAAAGTACAGAACGGTTGGCAAAACCAAGATAGAAATTTTAATTCAAAATAAACGTACGATAAATAAAATAGCAGTTAGATGATTGTTACGTCAATAGCCTGGTAAACGTTCAAGAAATGCCTTATAATGCAAAACTTACGCACCCAAACAAACACAATTAAAAATAATGTTAAAGCAAAAAGAATATAAATCAAGATGTACAAACAAATAAAGATAGTCCATAAAAAGTTGCTGTTTTCTAGTTGTTACACTATAAAATACATTTTACAACGCTCAAATATCAAAATTATCTACCAAAGCATCAAAATCAATTTAGAATCAATGTTATCTAGTAGCTGTATTACCAACGATTAGTGATTCATTTTCAATAGAAAATTAGTAAAATGCTCTTCGGCTTTCCGCATGCCAAAGATTTAACATACTTGCATAATTTTAAATGACATAACTTGCAAATTTGTAAAAATTTTATAAATCGAGTTTATTTGTTAATTTTTAATTATCGATTATTCTTAATTTTGTTAAATCATTTAACATCAATCAATGATTTTATACTTTATTACTTTCAACACTTATGGCAATAATTTTGATTTGAGGTATTGACTATTAGTTGCAGCATAAATTTTAGTTTTAGACAATGCCGCATGTCAAAATTAAGTAGAAATTATGCCACAATACTTTCTACGCCATTTACAAATATGTGATACTGTGTCTCGAGACTACCGGTGGGATGAAAAAATACGAATTTCTAAATTTAACAATCAACCTGCGAAAAAATGGGAGAACGAAGAATTCATCTCTATAGCCCAAAAGCACCAATAGTTAATACAGTATTAAAATTTTACGAAAATAAATTAAGAAATTTATATAAATTACTTTTATTGGACAAGACCCACAACTTGCGTATTAACATGATCATATATGACCTATGATCAACAGTCATATGATTATATGACCAAGGTCATATCAAAAAAAATTGTAGGACTTATGTAATCATCGGCCAATGCTGAGTGAACCCGGGTTAGAGCCGAATTCTGTTCCGGCTCTTATATTCGGTTCTGCGAAATATTTCCCTAGACTCGGATCTACTGTATATCAAGAATACATCTTTTAGGTTGTACGCACGTACGTACAAGACCCCTCTTAACTATAAAATCGGTTTTTAAATGGACTTATAGCAAGAGGCATCGGGCGATTAATGAGGTGAAACGGTAAACATTTTCAGTTTTTGGTTTCGGGTCTGGTCTAGAAATACCCGGCCCAACCCGACGCACCCCGTACCCTAATTATGCACTGTACAGTATATGTATGTATTGTATTTTTACATTTAGTATACAGTATAAAACTTAAATTGAGAAACAGTTACACGGTAATAAAACTATAAATAGTCGGACTATCGGAGAAAATGGAATCTCTATTAATGCTTAATGAAGATTTATAGGTAAGACTTAATCAACAATAAAATTCAACAAACAATAGAGAAATATTAAAAAAAGTCGAATACAGTATTAGAGTCTTATGATGGTTTTTAAATATAATAATTTGATATAATAATTTTCACGATTTACTTAACAAAGTTCAATACAATGCTTAAATAAATTATACGTACAATCTCCTCAATTGTTTAGAGGTCATAAATATAATTAGTAAAAAGTTAATTTTGTATCGACTTGATAATTTATGGTAGCATTCAACTCCCATTTATTCCTTTTTTATTAATGTACGCTAAAGTATTAATGGCAAGTAAAAAAAAAAAATAACGCTAAAAAATTATGCAAAAAGCAAATAATAATTATTTGAATAAATACAGACGAGAATAATAATAGTTAGTAGTATTTTGATGCGCTTTTTACAATAGAGTATAAAAAGTACGTATAAAATTTATAAATTCGATATACATACCGATACTGTATATGTAATAAATAAATAAATTATTTATGAGAATGTTTAAGACCGACAATTACTACCATATTAAGAGAATGTAGACTATATATAGACTTGCCACTCGTATAAAAAAGTATAGATTAAAGTTGTAAATAGTTATTAAATCCCAGTTCCGAGTTCATCGTTTTCTAATTCTTCTCTTCGATCAATTACAAAAAAAAAAAAGAAAAAAAAATTTTTTTAAGATATATACAATGCCAGTTTAAACAGGTTTTATGATCTGGCCATGATAATTAAAAAATTCTTTTGTACAAAAAGCTTGTCACTAAATTAAAAAAAAAAAAAAAAACTTATAAAAAAAAAAAAAAAAAAGGAATGATAGTTTTAGTATTCTAGCCGAGCTGAATATAAATCATCCACAAACTAAGAAATCTTATTTATTCGGATCAAAAAAAAAAAAACATCATAATTGTATAATATTTTTTCGAAAATTAGTATTGCGAACCAGTAAGGAAAAAAACAATGATTGAACAATTAGATTTATTTTCTTCGTTCTTGTCAGGCCTTGCGGCAATGGTAAGTAATCTTTATAAAATATATAGAATATCTATAGAATATCTATAGAATATATATATAATATATATAAAAGATTTCCATTACTAAATCATTATTACTTAATAAAATCACTGACTAATTCCATAATTCTATTTCACTCGATTCTTTGCAAATAGGCGTACTTACACAATTTCTTCGTTTCCGTAATACTATATCGGTCAGGTCATGCTAATGTATCAAATATTCTAAAAGTAATATTCAACTTTAGCGGAATAGCAAGATCAGTGGTTATGTATGCTTTGGTAATGGTTTCACAAAATATTTCGAATGACCAGTGCTCGGCTTTAACATATTTACAAGATGTGGCAAATTTTTTTTATCGGCAAGCTTTAATGGGTTTTTTGTTGTGGAGATTAAAACAAATCGAGTATTCTTTCTGGGATCGATGGATTAGTTTTGGATTGTTTACAGCTAGAACTATTTTAAACGTAAGTGCAAAATAGAACTATTTTAACTTAAAAATTTTTTTTTGTTTACTACACGTAATAGTTTACTAATAGTTTACTGATATATTAATAAAGCTTGCATTCTTTGGTTATGCAAGTCCAAAATTAATAACGCAACCAGATACTTCTAACACTATATGCGATTCAGCTCACGAATTTGGAGCCTTACCGATTTATCTAAGTTTTGTGGGAATTGACTTTATCATTGATACATTCGTAACCGTTCGTTTGGTTCAAATATTAACTGAAGGAAATCGAAGTGCTGCAGAAGTTAACTCGATAATTGGAAGAAAACCTACAACAAAAAGAACTTTATTCACTGCCGTTTTGTACTGGAATTTTTTAAGATTAACTATAGACTTTTTATATAATGCAATAACCGTTATTTTAGCTGTGGAAAATCCTTCTATTAATAATTCGGTACTTTATAGTTTAATGTGTTTTGTAACTATTGCTCAATCTTATTTAATCACTGTTGATGCTGAAATCGTTAAAGTTATCGAGGGTAGTAGTGAAAATCCTCCAAATATTGAATGGTTGAATAGTATAATTGATGATGGGAGAGGTGATAATAATCATAATGGTAATAGTTACAACATTAATAATTATATTAACATCAACGATAATAGCGTTGATCCGTTTAGGGTAGGAACGCGGGACGTACCTCCTTCATCTTCATCAACCGCAAGGTCAACTTCAAAGTATCAAAAAATCATTAAACCATTATTTATATCCACATCCCCCGTTACTTGTCGACCACAGTACACTCCACCAACTGCATTGATACGTGAATCTATGCTTGGACAACGACAAACTGGTTCTTTTCAACTTAATAAAGGAAAAATTGTCGTGGTATCAATGCAAAGATTATCATTTTTTGAATGGGCTAATATGGTAACCGGTGCTGATAATAATAGCGTTGATAATAATGAAAATTCTTATATTGATCATGAATTTAAACGAACCAAAATTGGTAGAGATGGAATGATTAGCAATAATAGTTTAAATAATATTGGAAAAGATTCGGTTAGATTATTAGATGGTAATAATTCTTTGATACCTGAATCTGCTTATATAAGTCAATCAAGACGTGGTAGTGATACTTCGACGATGTCAAATTCTTCTTTACAAACAAAAACCAATGATACTCATTTTATTAATGAGTTAAATTACAAACAATCTTTTATATAATTAATTTAAATCATAAACATTGGTCAAAATGTTTTATATTTTTGAATTATAAAAAACGTTAAAATAGTTTTTTTTTTTTTTTATTAATTTGGTAATTGAAGAGATGTATTACTTTCTTTTTTGTATTTATATTTTGTATTTCTTTGTTTTTGCTGTAAAAAAAAAGGAATGTAACAAAAAAAAAAAAATTGTAAAAAAATGTAAAAAAAAAAATTAAGTAAAAATGATCTTGCAGTGTCGTTTTGTTAAAAAATTTTTTTTCTTCTCATATTTTTGTACGTATATGAACTTATTTTCTTTAACAGTTGCTAAACTAAATCATAATTTGCAATAACGATAAAGTTAACAAAATTAAGCAAATTCAATTCGTTAATAATTTTCTTTCGAAACTATCTGAAACCGTTTCAAACTCATTGAAACCTTAGTTTCATTGAAATACACATTGAAATGAAAAATTTTATTATTACGTGCTTATTTATGTGTAAAATTATATTTGTAAAACCCATGAGGCTTGGCATCGGTGCTAAAATGGCGTGTCAATAAGTGATTTTCACTTTATATAAACACTGTAAGACGTAATTTCGATGAATCAGGAAAGAACCTTTTAAACAATGAGCCGTGGCACAGTAAAGGCCGTCTTTACTATCGTTTTAGTCTTGCTTGGGATTTAATAATGATTATTATGATTGGAAATTTAACATTAAGGTATGGGTGCTTAATTCTCGATTATCACGTACTGTACTGATAGTTCTAAAAACTCAACTTCTCGATCATCACATGTTTTTTCTAGAAGCAAAAAATATTGTTATGTTACTTCCTTTTGAAAGTTCTTGATGTGATACAGTCCTTTTTTCACACGGTGAATATGCGCACAGACCAAAAAAGTTCGTTTTATAATAAATTTTTGGTCTTTTCTTGCTACGTATCGCGAAACAATGTTAATTTCTGTTTTACATTGTATTTTCGATTTTTTTTGATCACGCTACGATGATCATTAAACTTAATTCCTCTTTCGTAAATTGCATTACTATTTTATTCTTATCGTTATCACAAGATAGGACACAATAAAATTTTTTTCTTTTAGCGAGTACGTATTCCTGTATTTACTATTTGTATATCATCCGATTTACCCAAATTAGGACTTTGTTTCCGAACTTACTATTCCAAAGTTACATGCTAGAGTTACATAAGGGGGCTTATATCACGTATTTATGTATATATGTACATATAACATATCGACACATATCGATATGTAATTTAAAATCGTGTTGTTATCTTTGCAATAATTACACCCCTTGCATTTACTTTTCTCTCTTCTAATCCTTCTTAACTACGTTAATTTTTTTTTCTCTTATTTTTATTAAGATGCCTTTAATAAAATCAATTCCAAATGTCCTTTCAACAAGTGTTAATCGCATGATTAAAGGCAAACCTCGTCCAACTTGGAATTATAAATTTCATGTTGGTTTTAACCTATTTAAATCAATGTTAACTGCAACATTTGATAGACCAATTGAAGAAGTTCAACTAATAAGTAATTCAACTAAAATTTCTCCTCCACTTGATATTACTATAAAAGAAGATTTAGAATTATCTGATAATTATCGTGCAATTGCTCAAATTCATCTTGAAAAATTTTTGGATAAATATGATGATGTTTTGGATTCAAAATGGAAATTTACAAATGGTCAAGAATTAATTGGTGAATGGGTTTGTTATAACGATTTACCAAAAAAATTTCCTGTGGTTTTATTTTTACATGGTGGTTATTTTTGCATGGGTGGAACTAAAATGATTAGATCTTTCGCAATTGAAATTGCAAAAATATGTAAAGCTAAAGTTTTTGGTATGTTATACTACTACTATCGTAGTAATTTTTATATATACTTTATACTATATATTACGTATTGTTTATACAAATATTTGTTACAAGCAGAATTATTTATTTTCATAATCTACTTAAAATTACGTATTATCGTTATCAGGTGTTGATTATCGATTATCTCCACAACATCAATTCCCTGCT